GTCTGAAATATAATCATAAAACAAAATTTTGAAGCACTATTTAGAGCAGTAGTAACAAAAAAAAACTGATTTTGAGGAAAAACGCCTTAAATTTTTAAGATTTTCCCTGTGAGCTAGCAAAGCGTTGTTTTTTTTAGCTGGGAAATCTCAATATTCAAATAAAATTTGAGGTTTCCTCTTTAAAAGGACATCAAAAATTCCTAAATAAAATGACATCAAATTAGGATTCAGACCAAATATAGACAAATTAAGTTATATAAATGGATTTAATTATGATATCAGAATGATCCAGGTAATCAAAATTTAGCTTTTAAAGCTAAGAATCTGAAAATGTAATTAGGTCATTTTGATCAAATTCGACTTAATCCTCATTTTGATATGATGGGTCACAAATATGCAACCTCATCACACTGAGTCATCTTGTCCTGCACGTCCTTTCTGCAAGATGTGTGGAAGTATGTGTGATCCTGTTGTGAAGGATACTCCCACTGGGTGTAGACTGAGTTCAGATGTAGTGCAGAGGGTGGTGTGAAGATGTGGCATCAGGACGTGTAGTGAAGACGCATGCATCAGGATGTGTAGTGAAGACGCGTGCATCAGGAGGTGGTGTGGAGATGCTGGCCTTGTCTGGGACAACTGGAGATGAATCCACAGCGCAGTCTGGAAAACATAAACAACATTAAAATGTACACAGTCTTTGCATAGTAGAAACAGTAAAGTGTCACTTATTTTTGTAATTTTTGTTTAACATTGTGAGGAAAAGTTTCTCATTCAACACTTTCMCACATCACATGCCCTTGTGACACGACTTTGAATAAGGGAGATATAATTGAAGTATGGATGATTTTGATTTATTGAAATCAAGTTGGCATACTAAAAGTGATTAATGTGGTAAGACTTACTTAGGGTTTCAGGAGTTCTGATAGGCTTTGCTGTGCCTTCTCCTTTCTTGAACTTGGGAAAGAATAATCTACATGGGCTCCCCAGATGAGGTAGTTGCCTGCAGACGTGCATTTTCATTGAAATGCATTGCAGCCAGGTACAGTCTGGTTAAAATAGCATAAAAGAATATTACATGTTAGTTTGAAGTTGCACCATTAAAACTCATCTAACACACAGTATTTTGAATAACAAAAAAAACAAAAAAACAAATACAGAGTGACTAAAACAACACTGCAGCCGATATTTTTTGGCCGATTCTTGAAGCTGATACTACTTTTTCTTCCTCCCTCCATTAACATGATAACAATAAGAATGATAACAAATGTTACACAAGTCTTAATTTAAAACAAACAAACTACAAAAACATTTATTAACTAAGCCTTGTCTGAAGAGGCTGTATAAAGTGCTGCCACACAGGATTTCTTCTTTCAGTCCTTTCTTAAAAAAAATAAATTCATTACTTATTTTATCTAGTGCTAAATATTCTGTTTTTATTTGTATATTAATTAGATTAATATATTTTAAAAAGAAAAAAAATTGTATAGGTCTTCTTAACGTCTCAGTTTCTCCGAAACACCCGCAACATACGGAATAACCACTGGTTTGGGTCTGGAT